CCCCTAATCCATACAGTTCTTATTTTCCCTATCAGTTGCTGAGAATCCTGTAGAATCCGTAAGAGTCAAACCTAACCTGAACTTGTTTAAATAGGATTTTTTTCATGAATTGGAATTTAACCTGAAGTATTCGTCTCTTGTCTCCCTTGGTCCTGAACCAGCCTGACTAAATATTTATCTTCAGTCATTGGCTTAGAATAAACATTGTCCTAAAACGTGATATCCCCTAATGAGAGAACCTGTTGAGCAGTGTTTCTTTTCTAGTCTGGCTAAGGAGGGCTGTAACTAAAATGCAGTTCTTCGGAGAAGCCAGTTTTATTTTAATGCCTGTTGTGTTGGAAACAGGTGGCTGTTATAGCCAACAGCATGCTCTGAGTGCAAATAGGGCAAATCAGCCTGTCTTTCATCAGTTCTTACTAGAAATATATGCATTATGTACCCTTTGTGTTGAGGTGCTTAGGAATTAATTTACAGTGAGGAGCAAATGAGCTAATGGGGCTTTTTCTGTCCCTCTTGCCCTTCCTTCCAATAATCCCCACCTCTCCTTATAAAATTCTGAAACTCTTTATGTTCCCTGTGCAGCAAAATAACACAGCTTCTCACTTAGCCCCTCAATACCCACTGCAGATTTAGGAAATAAGAGAAAAGGAGCAAGCCAGTGTAGCAGGAACGTGAGTGATGTACAGGATCTGGCAGAGGTGTTGGAAATAGGTGTCAAAGTCGGCTGAAGAGCAACCATGTAGTTACACCTTGGTGAGATGAGTCTTCATTTTAAATTTTTTATTTCACGTGAACAGTTTAATTGACTGGTTTTGGCCTGAACAAGTGTATTGGGTTTGTGTGGCAAGGTTTTGGTAGGAGGGGGGTTACAGGGGTGGCTTCTGTAAGAAGCTGCTGGAAGCTTCCCCTGTGTCCGATAGAGCCCATACCAGCCGGCTCTAAGACAGCCCTGCTGCCGGCCAAGGCGGAGCCAATCAGTGATAGTGGTAACACCTCTGTGATAACATTTTTAAGAAGGGAAAAAAAGTTGGGACAGATGGAAAACAGCAGCTGGAGAGAGGAGTGAGAACATGTAAGAGAAACAACCCTGCAGACACCAAGGTCAGCGCAGAAGGAGGGGGAGGAGATGCTCCAGGCACCGGAGCAGAGATTCCCCTGCAGCCTGTGAAGACGACCATGGTGAGGCAGGCTGTCCCCCTGCAGCCCAGGGAGGTCCACGGTGGAGCAGATATCCACCTGCAGCCCGGGGAAGACCCCACGCTGGAGCAGGTGGGTTCCCGAAGGAGGCTGTGACCCCATGGGAAGCCCGCGCTGGACCAGGCTCCTGGCAGGACCTGCAGATCTGTGGAGAGAGGAGCCCATTGAGCAGGTTTTCTGGCAGGACTTGTGACCCCGTAGGGGACCCACGCCGGAGCAGTCTGTACCTGAAGGACTGCACACCGTGGAAAGGACCCATGCTGGAGCAGTTCATGAGGAACTGCAGCCCGTGGGAAGGACCCACGTTGGAGAAGTTCATGGAGGACTGTCTCCCGTGGGTGGGACCCCACGCTGGAGCAGGGGGAGAGTGTGATGAGTCAGGCCCCTGAGGAGGATGAAGCGGCAGAAAATAAAGTGTGATGAACTGACCGTAAACCCCATTCCTCGTCCCCCTGTGCCGCTGGGGGGGTTGGTAGAGAATCAGGGAGTGAAGTTGTGCCCGGGAAGAAGGGAGGGGTGGAGGGAAGGTGTTCTGAGATTTGGGTTTATTTCTCATTACCGTACTCTGGTTGATTTGTAATAAATTGAGTTAATTTTCCCCAAGCTGAGTCTGTTTTGCCCGTGATGGTAATTGGTGAGTGATCTCTCCTGTCCTTATCTCAACCCACAAGCCCTTTGTTATATTTTTCTCTCCCCTGTCCAGCTGAGGAGGGGGAGTGATAGAATGGCTTTGATGGGCACCTGGCATCTGGCCAGGGTAAACCCACCACAGCAAGGAACTGAAATGGGACAATTTCACTCAGAGATAAATCTAAATCAGAATGGATTTGAAAAATATGCAGCTTCTTGTTCTTAATCTTTGTACTACTCTGTGGGAGAAACACAGCTTTGGTGATCTTAGACTTTGGGAAACACAAACTCCCTCTCAGCCTTTTGTGGCAATGAAATAGAGTGTGATCTGAGTATTTGCATAATCTCTTTCTAAATAATAGTTCTGGGGCTCTTTTGCCCTAGAGACTCATGGAATTGCAGGACACATGGAAAACTTTCTACAGCATAAAAATAGTGTGATGAATTCAAGATTTCAACATCATGCGAATATCCAAAGGGCAGAGTTGAGGCTATATGTGCAACCTTTACTTTGCAATTTCCTGTCAGTCAGAGGTTTAATTTTATCATTTTAGTCATAGATACTGTTGTCATTTTTTTTCTTACTGGCATTTCAAATAGGTTTATCAGAAAGAGGAGAAAAAGTCCCAGGCACAGCAAACCTTCAGCCCTGAAGGGTCTGATCTGTGCATGGGGGATATTTCTCTTAGTAAAGCTTGGGAAGGGAACAACTTACTAGAATAAAACCAGAGGTGATAAGAACAGAAAGACAGGCAGACCAACTTCCTGCCCACCAGTTATTTACCAACACAAGAGAATGGAGTTACTGGGACTGAAGAGAGCAAAAAGCAAAGGAGGATCAGTGTTAGCTGCATACTCAAGTATTTCCCATGGCTGGCTGTAGGCAACGATACAGTATTTTTTGAAAAGGAAAGTGCTTATTACATTTAACTGCAATATGCTGCCTGAAGAAATTGAAAGACATTCATCCATGCCAATGCAGACCAGCATACTTGGCAAGGGGAGGTTCCAACACTGTCTAGAAAATTCTGTGGACTAGAGTGCACAGAGTATGTTGTAAGATCTGGTGTCAGCACAGTGAATATTTCATAACACATCACCAGTAACTAGCGGAGTACCCCAGGGATCCCTACTGGGTCCATTACTCTTCAACATCTTTGTTAAATGTCTGGATGATGGGACAGAGTGTACCCTCTAATGATACAAAACTAGGAGGAGTGGATGATACAGCAGAGGGTTGTGCTGCCATCCAGAGGGACCTCCACAGGCTGGAGAAATGGGCTGACAGGAATCTCATGAAGTTCCACAAGAGGAAGTGCAAAGTCCTGTACCTGGGAAGGAACAACCCCAGGCACCAGTACATGCTGGAGGCCAAGCAACTGGAAAGCAGCTTTGCAGAAAAGGACCTAGGAGTCCTGGTGCACACCAGGCTGACCATCAGCCAGCAGTCTGCCCTTGTGGCACACCTGGAGTACTGTGTCCATCCAGTTCTGGACTCTCCAGTGCAAGGTGTATGTGGAGAGAGTCCAGCGGAGGGCCACTAAGATGGTTAAGGGACTGGAGCATTTCTTATATGAGGACAGGCTGAGTGAGCTGGGACTGTTTAGCCTGGAGAGGCTTCTCAGGAGCTCAGGGGGATCTCATCAATGTGTATGAATACCTGAAGAGAGGCTGTAAAAAAGACAAAGCCAGGCTCTTTTCAGTGGTGACAGGACAAGAGGCCATGGGTACAAACTGGAACACAACAGGTTCCTTCTGAACATCAGAAAACACTTTTTTACTTTGAGGGTGACTGGGCACTGGCAAAAGTTGCCCAGAGAGTTTGTGGAGTCTTTATCCTTGGAGGTATTCAAAAGCTGCCTGGACACAGTCCTGGGCAATGGGCTGTAGATGACCCTGCTTGTGCAGGGAGTTTGGACCAGATGACCTCCAGAGGTCCCTTCCAACCTCAACCATTCTGTGGTTCTGTGATTCTGTGATCATGCTTAAGAGCCAAAATATCCCATTAAACCTTGTTATGGGCTTCTGCTAAAGGCAAGGCTTGGTTAACCCATCTGCTGTGGATACTTGTTCATGACTGTAGTAGTCAAAGGCAGCTAGAGAGATGCCAACCACATCAGTCCCTAGTGGGGTTGTCCACAGAAGCCTGCATGCTTCCATCATGTTACCCCGGTGGGACATGTATAAGTGGGTGATAATAGAAAAGATATAATGGCATTTCTAAGACAATGTAGTAGAGAAATTCCTGGAAATAATCAGAAATTTTTCTTTTCTGAATATCAATACAAAACATGTTCTATGTGTACTTTATGTGCTTTATCTCTAAAGATAGTATGTTTTTACTATATAAATATATCTCTTTGGTAATATAGTACTACTAAATTATCTAATAGTTTTACATTAATCGGGTTCTGTGCCATGTGATAACTCTAATGGGAATATGGTTCAAAAGCAGCCCCTTTCTTAGCACAAAGGACTCTAATGCAGCAAAACCTGCCTGTGTTCCACTCTTCACTGAGGCTCTGTGTTGCTTCAGCTGTTTCCCTGAATCTCTATCTGAAGTGATGAGATGGGTGAATTCACATGAGTGATGAAAGCAGCTGAGGACAGCGTTGTGCAGGCCAGTGAGTATGCCACTGGGAGGATCCACAAATCTAAAAACCTCAGGATATGCAAGAGTTTAGTCAAAACACAGGCTGTGGAGGCTGGTAATTTTTTCAACATCTTCTATATTCTATTTAAAGCTTGTTAACCTGGGGTAAGGATTTATAGTCAAGGTCAAGTGGGATAGCCCTTGGCACGGTATGTCAACAAGAGAAAAGGCTTTTACTTTGAGTGTGCTATTACCTACTGCTGAAGAAATAAGTGTTTGTGGTTTCCATTGCCTAGAACCAGTTGATGGCAAAAGGTTTTATCAAAGTAAGCTTAGACTGTGAGCAATATTTTTTAAAACCATTAATACAGAATTTGCTTCTGATATACTTGTTTGTAAACAGAAAGTCATTCTGTACTAATATGCTGTGTGAAGCTTTTCATGCCACTTTACTGTGCAAATGAATCAGAACTTAAGTTGGCATTCTAAGGCATTTTTTACTTCTACCAGCCTTTTAATTTATGATCTTAAGCACTGATTTACTGTAAATGTTCAAAAATATATGTAATCTCTTTCACAGCTGCAAAGGTTTTTTGAGATATTCTTTAAAAGCAGTTCTCCCCAGCAAGCCTTCAACAACATGAAGGAAGCTATAAGCAAACTTCTGCTTATAACTGAGGTCTTCAGTGAATCATCTGCCTCAGGACCAAATTCTTTCAATCAGTAAGTGACTTGCAGTGGTCATTGCTATGCTATTGTCAAGATAGCTCCTTAGAACAGAATAAAAATTGTAGAGGATACACAACTCCTAAACTAAAAAAATCCCCTCTATTTCATACTTCCTTATAAAGTGAGGACATGCTGCATTTACAGAGTAAGACTCTTCAATATCTGCAGTGTTTCTGGTTTGTGAAGAGGTTATGATGAATACTTAGGACCAGATGCTGTGTCCTGATGGAGTGTTTCAGGCAGCACAAGTGAACAGAAATCACTCACAACTGGGCTAGTCCTAACATATATAAAGCTGTATTTCCCTTCAGTGAGCCTTCTGTCATATGTCAAATATTTAATGTTAGAGTAGCCCAGATGGTTCAGAGCTGGCAGTGGCAGGCAATCTGAACAAGAGGCACTGTAGAATACTTTATGAAATATACCTTATGGAATATACCTAGGCAGCAACAGTCACATTTCTGTGGGTGTTAAATCATTGTAATCACTTCTATTAGAGTGTTACAGTTCTTACACATAAATCAACCTTTATTATGTAATATTTTTATTAATTAAAATTAATATTTGTTCTATATATGTTATGTCACATCCCTGACATTTTTATGACAAATACTAAATAAGTTACTATTTATTACTTTTATATGTTTTATAAAGCTATGTGAGAACCCAGGTGTTTTAGTAGCAGTAATATAAAGCTCATTATTTGACTTATACAAGTTGGGAATAAAACTTACATTGTGAGTGGAGAGGGTAGTGAGGAGGGGAGGAGTGTAATGGGATAGAGCTATTTTGACAGTGATCCAAACGCTAACAATTTTTTACCAATGGGATGGATATCTCTTGTTTACATAACCCAAGACTTGCTTAGAGCTCCTGGCCCATGCCTTGAAACATCCCATAGCTGCAGCATAATTCTTTGGCTTCAGTAGTTTTGCCATCTATTGCCCTCCAAATGTCTTCAAAGCTTTTGCAGGACCTCATTCTCATAAAAAGGCATTTCCTCCTCCATTCACCTCCCTCACTGGTTTAAAAGTTAACCATATAAATACACTTAAATACAGCACTGTTTTCATCAGCTCACAATCTGACTCCACCTATGTTTAATGCTGCTGGCTCTTAGAGATTTTATTTAGTCTATATTGCATGCTGACTCTTGACTTGTGTGTGTATGTTCTTCTGTGTTCTCTGGACCTGTGTGTAGGTCATTGTAGCATATATAGGGACATGGTTTAGTGGTGGACTTGACAGTGTTAGGTTTACGGTTGGACTCAATGATCTTAAAGCTCTTTTCCAACCTAAATGATTTTATGACTCTGTATTTCACAACAGTACCTAACCTCACTGAATTGATTCCTGTTATATTGTATTTCAGATGCAGCCAATGTTTTCAAATGCTAACCTTTGACATTGGATTCGGCACCTCCATATACCCAGTAGTTCTTGAGGTGAGAAAATTACACAAATTACTGCTTGACCCCAAAAACTTATACCAAAAAGAACACAGCAAGTAACCCTCTTTGATAGGTACCCTCAGATCTCTGAGAAATGTACAAATACGTTAATATTAATTTTGCCTGGAAGTGAAGAGTTGCTGTGGGAGAAACCAGTTTTTAAGGGACAGACTTCCTGTGATAAAATTCACCACACCATTGAAGTGTGCAAACCTTTCCGTTTTAGCACTAAAGGACTATCAACCCAACTGAATATCAGTGAAACAAAATCCATAGGAAGCATTGTGTGAAAGCAGAGGTAGGTATTTACTGTGCCAGCACGAAGATGAAGGGAAGAAGTTAAAATACCACAATCAGCTTTTAATACAAACTAAATTTCTCCATGAATTGTATCGTACTTCTTCAGTCCATGACCTGCTTTGATCTCTACTGTGCTGCCTTCTTCCTTAATGGTTCTCAAGGACCGCAAAACCAGAGAAATGTGACCTGTGGCATAAACTCCCTGTGCCAATGTTGTACCACTCCTGCCTCAGAACAGCCTGGCCAGAAACAAAAATTGTACTGCTTTCCAGCTGCTTCTCATTACCTCAGTATATACACACGAATATGTATATACCTAGGTATATACAATCTTTGTCCATATTTATGACACACAAAAGGCAAAAAGAGTTAGTAAATATATCCTGGGAAATTACAGAACACTTTTAAAATTCATCCTCAGTTAAAATCTGTTCATTTCTAGTAACAACAGGGCAGTTAATCTCTCCGTCCTTCACAAAAAAAAGATCCTTGAAACACAAAGGAAAAATGGACATATGAAGGAAAGTTTGTACAATTTAAAAAATCCATGAAGACGATATCCTCATTAGTCTGACAAGACTTGTTTAGCTAGTATAAGAAATGTGGCTTGTCCTAACAATTTAATAACTGTATACCAAGCTGTAAAAAATTCTCCCAGGAGTTGCTTAAAAAACTTACCATAAAGCATAATGTTTACCTGCCTGTATAGAAGTCTCGTCCGTCAACCATAATCCATGCAAATCAGTGGGGTTTAATAGTTTCTTATGAAAATACAAATTACTCTAAAAAATAACGTTTGATAATTACTATGACATTTGACTTCTAATAGCATCCCTTGGAAACCGTAGTATGCACAAACCCCATGCAGCTTGAAGTTATATTTGTGTTTATGCTAAAATACTAATTTATTCATATTTTATAAACATGAGTTTATGCATTGTGTTTATATGTTGTAAAACTTACACTTTCATCTGTAGTAAATCCTAAATACCTGAGTTTTGCAAGAGTTATGTTAACATAGAAGCTGACATTTTACTTTTTTAATCAAATTTCACATCAAACACATGGAAAAAAAGCTCACATGAGAATGCAACATTGTGCTCTATCCACTGGAGGTCAGCAAACATTGTGGTGTGTAGTTCTAACAGAAAATGTGGTACAGCATTTGTTATATTATAATCCTGTTTATTTTATTAGTGTTGTTATTATTTTTTTATAAATAGTTCCAGTTTGATATATGTGGTTATAAGAAGACTGAACTTGATATTCAAATTATAAATTCTTATATTGTTTTCCAACAGGTGCATGAAAACTTTGATTTTCAAGATGAGGATGAAGCAAACATTCAGGACCAAACTTTCAAAGAATTTCTTCTTGAAGATACTTTTAAATTTCTCTTATCTAATGTGTCCTCAACATCCAGTTTCATAGAAGCTTTACAAAAAATATATGGATCAGCTGTGAACAAGGTAGTTCATTCTACCTTTTTCTTATTATTAACTATCTGAAAATATTTCATTCTAAATTGTATGCCTTTCTGAAATTTTAGGTGCCAAATTATAGAATGAAGGATTTATTTAATCAAAACTATCTGTTACTGACTTCTAGGGAATAAAACTGTAATTATATTAAACAATCGAATTTTCTTTTATAAAAATTCCACTCTCAAATTATGTCATTTCCCAAAGTACAGGACTTTAAAGATATATTTAAAACTTTAACAGTTAAAATAATTTCCCTACCATTTTTTAAATGGTCTTTTTTAATATACAGGTTTGTGTGTTTTCATAAACCTAGAATTGATTAACTCAGATAAGTAGATTCATGAGGATCAGAATTAAATTTTGTTTCCTACAACTTTGTGTCTTATTCTGAATGCAGGATCCAATTAAATTTTTTTGCATTTATAGGATCTGTATAAAGTTTGCATCACTAGTAAAAACTATTTCTGACAAGCTGGGATCTCCTTTAGCAGTATTTCTCTCAGTTTGGGCACTTTTAAGGGTGCATTTCTGAGGACCCCCCCTGCTTACAAGGCTTACAGGGACTAAATTATCCATGTGACTTCTGCCCCTCAGATAGGTGTGACTAAAACAGGGTCACGGGTTCTAAATTTATGACAGGCTAAAGTAGGAAGCTGCAGACATACGCACACGTATGATACGATTACCTAAGTCTGTGTTCTGTACGAGACCAGACCACATTTCAAACTGTCCACTTCACTGTCTATATTTCATGCAGTCTCTTCCCATGGTAGTTTATATGGGTACTTTTCTACACAAAGCTAATGCACAGTCTAGTTTATTCTAGACTGAGAAACGGGAAGAGCTATCAAGGAGCTGGCTTGACATGACTTTGGATGAGGTTAGGGCAAGTTGAGAGCTGCTGTGACTTGTTCCTTTGATCACCAAAGGGATGGGGGTCTAATGAAAGCACCCTGCTTTCCATGTGATTTCACCAGACTATGCTGCCCTTTCCTTCATAGGATGGAACTTACCACAGAGAAGATGAGCAATGTTTGTCTTTAGAAGAGATAAATTCAGTGATTACTTTCGTAAAGGAGCTGAAGAGTCTTGGACAATTTGAGCTGGTAAAATAAACAGGGTTTTGTTGCATTGGATATATATTTTATGTAAACCTCTTAACATTTCTCCTTCATTACCATTCTTTGCTGTCTCTGGCACATGTATTAGGCTGGATGGACAGGGAAGCAGGAAGGTAGAGGTTAGGCTGATTTATTTTGGAGGATTTGGGGAATTTAAATTAAAAAACTTAAGAAAATAAAAGAGAGAATTTGAGTTGAGGATTCATTGAAAAGAACAGTTAAAGCAGAAACAGAGACCAGAAAACAGAGTGAAAGGAAAAGGAGGAAAATTATTTAAATGACTGAGTTGGTAAGAAAATAGAATCATAGTGAAGCAAAGCAGGTTTTAATGGAAGAACTGGAGACAGTACAACACTGAGATCATGACCAGAGAATAGATATAGATGAAAAAGTGGCAAAAAAAGCAGGTGGAATATGTAATATGTCTTCTTCACACTTAAACTGAGTCCATTCTTGGAGAAGAATAGAGGTGGAGAAATAACAGTGTCTGTGAATAGGCATGGCAGTTAATGAGGGAAATTATGAGTATTGGGGAAATAAAAGATCTGCAACTGGATCTGTTGTTCAGAGTCTGCATGATATCAGGATTTCTTCTAGACCTTCTGGATGAGTATCAGGATGGGAGACTGATGCGCCTTTCTGAAGAGGTATTGAGTTGAATAGATCTGGAAGTCAAATCAGAGGCAAAGGAGTTAGACTTCCATGTCAGTACTAGTAATCCTGATTTGCAAGGCTGGGCAAGACAGTGACTTTCTACACATGTGGGAAAGAGCATTAATATATATCCATCCATGTGCTATATACACTGTCTTCTAAGTATTTCTCACTTCTTTGCATTTTACAAATATTCTAATGTGTAGTCTCTAATCAATGTCTCTCTTTTCAGCTTTTCCCTTCTGCTGCACCCAAGATTCAAACTTTACTGCGTGACCTTTATCACATGGTAGACCCAATGAGGCGACTTGGTTCAGTCCTGACTGTGCATTTGTTGCTTTCCAGTTTACTTGAACAATTCCAGTTCATGACTGAAGAGGCACATACAAATCTTTCAGAATGGTAAGATACTTATTATAAGATATGTTGAGGGTAGTTTCTCAAATTATATTAATTGCAGTAACTCCGGTGAGCATCATAAAACTTAATCCTTCAGTAGATGTAGGTGGACTCAAAACACTTGAGATGAAGGTCTATCATCCCATCATGGAGCATTGTCAGCCATTCTGCCATTAGAGATGTAGCTAGGTTTCTACATAGGACAGTTTTGTCCCTTTGCTTCTCTTTCTAATATGGAGGACTTTGGGTTAAAAAATTAATTGGAGCTACAGTAAATTTTTTTCTAAGAAATATGAAGTAAATTAGATATGTTGTTTCTGAACAACTGTAAACTCAAAATTAGGAGTGCTTACCAGGGTTAAGGATGTCTTTTAATTTGTTCACCAATTAAAAGCAAAACTGTAAAGAAAATATAAAATTTCAGGTGAAGATTTTTCCAAAAGCGACTGATAGTTTTGAGTGGCTCTAGATTTTCTGTCCAACAAGAGACAGGTCAAAGAGCATAATACTCTGAGAACCTCATTTTAACTCTTTTTGAAAAGCTGGAAGAATGTGGTCATGACAAGGTTAGATCCACTGAGCTTCTGGCAAGAAATTTTCACTTTCGTAAGGAGGGAGGGAGGGAGAAAGGGAGGAAAAAAAAGAGAGAGTAAGGAGTGAATGGAGGGAAGGATAAAAGTTGTGGTATGCTATATGTTTAGTATAAGATTTGTAAAAATGTGTTTTCTGTGCTCATTCTCTCTTGGCTAATGACATTTCATATACATGTATGCCATACTTCTTTACTAACTACAGGCATATATGATTTTGCAAACAAGGGCTTGGGAACAGAGGCACATTAGACAATGTGTGTTCTCCATTCCACTGAGTCTCAAGTTAATGTGCGAATGACATGATTTTGTACATGTTACTTGGAGAATGCCATAGTGACTATATAAGGGGTGTGTAAGATTTCTTAAGTTTTAATTTTGTTCCTCATTGAATTGGGTGTGGCTTTCAGCAAGTCAATAGTCAACTGTAACTTTGGTTGCTTATCTATAAAGTGGAGCTTATGCTTTACCACCGTGCTAGGTAACTGTTTATTAGTTTGAAAATACACAGTTCCATGAATGTGCTAAGTATTATTGTTGTTACTGCCGGCCACTCCATGAAGAGTAACTGAAAGATGCAGCTGCTTGCATTCATGTATAAGCCCTTGCCCTTTTGCCAAAATATTTAGGTTTGCATATCAAAGCATACCAACCTTTAGCAGCTTTCTGTTCTAATCTAAGCTGTGCCACTCACTCACTTTGAGCAAGCCCCTTGGCCTCTTTTCTTTCTTCAAGCTGAACATTATTGTATGTGTATAAATACGTAGAAGTACCATGACCTTTCTCCAGGGCATAGGCCAGTCTGCTTCTTTGCACTGTGTTTTTCTGCAATGGCTAAGCTAATAATGCCATTCTTTTCATTCACTGTATAAAAAAACATGTGTTTTGACATTGCTAAATCGCAATCTTCCACTCCTATAGCTAAATGCATGTGATGGTGATGCATGTGTCAGATATGCATGTAATTATACTTAATTGCAAGGAAGAAAGAGCTTAGTAGAGCTTACTCCCCAAATAACTCAGGTATGCATTCTCTTTGAGCTTTGATTAATCTTTTTTGAGATTCCCAGCTTTGATGAGTTTGTATATCAGAACACTTCCCCTGAATTTCTTCAGCTAAGGCCACGTTGTTCAGTTGATTTATTTAACAGTTCTTATTTCTCTGACTATGCAAACTTGGTATTTCCATTTACAAAATCCAGTGATTTGCATAGCTGACTGTCCAACAAGGCAATAATACTTATGGGAAAAATAATGACTTCTGACTTAGGTCTACTGCAGTTACTCTGTTCACTGATCATGAATTCATAGGATGGAGACAGGATTTAAAGAAGTTTCCTCATCTACTTTTCTTAACCCATTTCATCTACATGACTAGTATTAAAACTTTAAATGGTATTAGTGAACTCTATGAATTCCTTCCACAGGAGAAGCAAGAAGAACTCTAGAAACTCTTCTCAAACTATAATGAAATCGTTACAGCCTAGGTGAGAATGACCATCTCAGATGTATTGGTATAACATATGACAAAGTTCTTTGAAAGTGATGGAGTGGTGCTACCTAATATGTGCACTGAAATAAATTTTATGCTTGTTTGTGCACTGTTTTTCAACTCTAAGCAGTTTCAACTTGTGATATGACTAAGATGTACAACATTACTGTCTTTTAGTATAGGGGCTATGAACTATCATGGCAAGTATGTTTGGCTGTATCAGACAGCAGGGTAGTATGGGAGAATCAGGTTAGTAAGAAAAGCTAATCCTTCTGTATTTGCATAAGACAAAAGCCTAAGCAGGTCAATAAAGTTGCAAATGCTTTTATGAAATCAACTGATATATTTGGGAAAGTGTTACTAGGTTCCCATATGCAAGCTCTTTTTTAGGTCAAAATAGAAGCAGCAGCCCTCAAACTGAATTTGTGTTGAAAATAATTTTTTGGAGTTTAACTTGGTCATGTTCATCACCTGGGCAGTTTGAGAAACAAACATGTTTCGGATTATAGGGCAGAAGAAGACAACAGCAAGGATGCCTGGATAAGATCACTGATCTGCAATGGGAGGAATGAGAGACAGAGGGAAGGAGGAAAGGAGAGAGGCAGTTGGGATTAAGTGCCGGGAAATCAATCCCACTCTTGAGTCTGCAATTCTCTGTTTCTCTTTTGAAGATCAGCACAAGATGCTTTCATTGGTGAACCAAATGCCCTCATAGAAACTCTGTGACTGAAGCCAAGCAAACACTACAAAACAGAGAGCTCACGCTGCTGGTTCATCAAACAGAAAAGAATTGCTAGGGATCATGTCTCACAAAATTACCTCCAGTGTCTCCTCATTTTCAAGAAAGACCTACAAAACATAATCTAAAGAAATAAAATTCATCTCTACTGAATACTAAAATATGGTCACAATTTTTACTTTATAACCCATTAAAAATTGCACCATCCACAACTAACACATTCACTGGAGGCCCCAGAAGTGACTAGATCTTTTCCTTTTTATATTTTAATCTTATGAAAGGTATTATTATTTCTACACATCCTTCATTGCTTATATCTCTGATTGCTTAGACCATCAGACCTACATTAGTATTGCTGCTGTCAATCCTTTAGTTTTCTCGTTTGCTGAATCAGAGAAGTTCCTAAAGCACAGGTTCACTGTCAATAGTTTGTGATGTACACAGCAGGGATCTTTCAGAAGGTACATTCACAAGCATGCACTCACCTAGGGTACCTGACATACTTTCATTAGTTTCATTAGAACTAATTGCAAAGTGTGTAGACAAGGCACACATCTGTGCTTGATACCTTCTCCAAGATACTAAGTAAATAAGAGGCCACTCATACAGATGAAGGTCCCTTCTTGAGTAACAGCGTGTGAAGGAAAGGACTCTGCAGAGTCCAGGATCTCAGCCGCTCCCTGCCTGAAGAAGAGCTTCATAACTGCATCGTTCCTCAGTTTGCTGACTGCAAGGAGCTTGGACAAAGGAAAACTTAATGGTGCTGATGATTAAAAAGCCCAGTCTTCAGCAGAGATAAATCATAGAAACATTTAGGTTGGAAAGGACCTTTAAGGTCATCGACTCCAACCGTTAACCTAACATTGCCAAGTCCACCACTAAACCATGTGCATAAGTGCCACATCTACATGTCTTTTAAATACCTCCAGGGATGGTGACTCAACCACTTCCCTGGGCATCCTGTTCCAATGCTTGACAACCCTTTTGGTGAAGAAATTTGTCCTAATATCCAGTCTAAACATCCCCTGGCACAACTTGAGGCCGTTTCTTCTTATCCTATCATTTGTTACTTGGGAGAAGAAACTGTTATTTGCCTCACTACAGCCTCCTTTCAGGTAGTTGTAGAGAGCGATAAGGTCTCCCCTCAGCCTCCTTTTCTCCAGGCTAAACAGCCCCAGTTCCCTCAGACACTCCTCATAAGACTTGTGCTCCAGACCCTTCGCCAGCTTCATTGCCCTTCTGTGGACACGCTCCAGCACCTCCATGTCTTTCCTGTAGTGCGGGGCCCAAAACTGAACACAGTATTTGAGATGCAGTCTCACCAGTGCCGAGTACAGGGGGACAATCCCTTCCCTTGTCCTGCTGGCCACACTGTAATCTGATTATCTTTCTGTAATATCATTACTAAATGTTACATTTTGATACCCTGCTGTAATTAGAGTTATTATATGTCTCATAATGTTGTCTGATGATAATTACAATCACTTTACATTGACATGTACAGGTCATGCCCTTCCTTTGGGAGCTGGCGCCTTGCAATGGTTGTGGCTGCCACACTCCTGAGGTGTCCTCTGGTTAAACCGAAGTCTGGCATTTTGCAGAGTTAAGACATCCTGTTTTCACCTTACAATAGGGTTTGGGTCTGGGCAATCAAAAAGGAACAGCGGAGAGAAAAAAAGTATTTGACAGGTGTTAGCCATTACCTCCTTGGCAAGCAGAAAGAGGGGTGCAAAATGACTTATAACTTGGAAAACAAATTCTAATAGTTTGTTAAGTACTTCCTTTGAAGTAAGTTATGAATGTGCATGAAATTAGGGTGGTGTCTAGACACTGAAATCTCAGAACTACATTTTCATGAACACGCAGAGACACACAGATCTGCCAGCTGCTTCTTTCCTTATCTCATTGAGATAACGCAGAAATCTCTGTTTTATTATTGGACAGTTTACCTTTCACTATGATTGACCTCAATATTGCTTTCAGCAGCTCCTGTTGAAACGTTAGTGATGGCTGATTGCACAGAACAATATTGCCACCTCCCTTCCTTGGCACAGACAGTGACTTTGTGTCTTTCAAAATCCAAACTGAATGGGCAGCAGTATCTGGGAAGAAGCTGCTTTATGATAATTTCTACAGAAAACACCGGGAGGAAAACACGTGAAAGATTCAAGAAACGCTAGCGGACCTCTGAAAATGTCTTATCAGCCAGAGGTCCAGTACGTGGATTGGAGAGATGCCTACTGCCTTTCTTCTACTATGCTCCCAAAATGCTATATGAAAGAAAAAAATCTGTGGAGTTATCAGTATGGGCACCACTAACATGTTAATGAATTGTTGCGATTGACTTGTCTTTTTTCACTGAGGATTTATATATATACTATGGATGTTGATCATGTGATTTATTTTAAATTAGCAAACAAATCAAAACACACAGATGTTCCACTGTATGAGTTCATGTTAACTTCGGTACAGATGTTCCCGTTGACACGGGCCTTCATTTATATTTAATTCTTTTTGAGCAAAGACTAACTTTAACCTCAAATATATACAAAAAAAGCATCATACAAACAGTTAAGATATATGGTTCAGGTAATTTTATTCTTAGCTATATCCACTCTTCCTTTTCCCAGCAATTCAACCATGTTTTGAAATTTATTTCTGGTTTCCTTTTTTCATGCCAAATGCTACCATTTTTTTTGGAATGCATGTTTTCTGTCACGTTCATTCAGGTAATATTGCTAATGCTGGGAACAAGAATCCAGAAGGTTCATCTTTCCATGGAGAGTATTAAAATACCATGTGCCCTGGGTTGCCATATGGAAATTTTTGAAAAATGTTCCATGGTTTCTGTTCCTTCCATTCACACAGAAATATGTCTGCTATTGAATTGACAGGAATTCTCAAGAAAATGCAAGTCCTAAGCAGAATGTTCCTTCTGGCTTCAGGAAGAATCATGAAGGTAAGGGGTCAGAGTAAGATCTTTTATATATGCTATGTTTTTCCTATTTGTACTACTTCTGATAACATGTATGATTTAGATTACATTGTTTTGCATTCCAGGGGGAAGGTCTTAGCTTACTACATATAAAAGACCAGTTTCTTCCTTATCCGTGTAAGTTGTTCTGCTGGGCCCATGAGCAGTGTTCACGAGCCTAAAGAAAAGGTCTCACACTGAAAAGAATAAAAAGACACTGTATTTTTTATAATGAACAATGAGAGTTTCTTCTCCTATAGGATTGCGAATCAGGCTTAGAGCAGAAAATTATTAATTGTTTCTGTTTATCTTTCAGCATTGCATTATTCCAGTAAGACTAAGGAAAGACAATGCAGTTATGGTAAGTCAAGGTCTTTCTAGACCACTAAGGAGGAAGAAGAGTGATTACTTGGACAAATTTCTTGGGTTTTTCTGCATAACCTTTCAGTGAATGGAGTGCCTGGGGGCTGTTATGTAAAAAAAAAAAAAAGGATTTTTAAGTAGCAACAATGTTTATGAATCACTCAATAATTGGGCTATTATGTTAAATAAGCCTCAAGCACAAAGTTAAACATTGCTATGCATGCATATTAATATGAGTATTCCAGCACTCATTGATCCCTTGCAGCGCTTCAGTAGACTTTTGCCCCTTATTTCCAAGAACTTTAGCATACATTTGTTCTTGTGGAATAACCTTTAAACTTGTATGGAGTTTAATCAGCCTTGTACAAGGCCAGACTTCAGCTCAATGCTGGTGTTTTAAGTAGCTTCTTAAGAGATGAAGAGTTTTTCTAAGATATCTGCTTGTATGAATATTTAAAGTAAATTTAAAGATATGTAAAGGTTTAAAGTATATTTGGTTTTGGTGGGAGCAATGCTTTCTGCTGCCTTCCTCATTGACACATTATCTGAGGGGTCGCTTTATAAATGTGAAACAATTGCTCTGTGGTGGAAAGGCATTTCTACCCATTGAGCCTCATTTCACCTCTTACTGATCTCATGGTCCCTCCAGGAACTCCTCTGTGTCAGTCAGAGATCAGAAGTGATCCTGGCTTGGCTGACTGGCATCACTATTCCGATTGAGTGATATTTGATTTTGAAAATAGCTCAATTAATTTTATTTTGAATTATTCCTCATTTTTAAGCTAGTCGTGAGACAGTCTTTCTAGGTAAGGCATACAGGATCTGGAGAGCTGTTTATACTCATCTGTAGGATTTTTTTAAATACCTTCTGTGTGTCAACTTATAAGCCTCTACTCCCCTACAAATCTAGCCCAAATTCTGCTCTTCCACTGGAATAACTTCTTTATATTTTAATCCATGCAAGAGAGTGCTGAAATTGCCCTGGTTTGTTTCTCAAGGCAGATATTTTGAGGTAGAAAAGGCCCACATAGAACTGCTTGCATCCTTTATGACCCTTTTAAGCCATGTTTTAAGCCACAAGATTTTTCAGATATTATATTAAAAGAGTTTCCTGGCTGGAGTGTTTTCTGAAGTACCTAGTTTTAAACACATACAAGAGATTATATGTGGAAAGCAAGTTTTGAATATGTAATTATACTGTAAATCTAAGTCCAATAGGTTGGATTAAAATATTTGTCATAAGTGGGTTGCCAGCAAATAATTATTCTCATGAGTCATTTGGCAAACACTACAAAATAAAGGATACATTTGAGCAAATAGGATTTGGTTGCAGAGATTTCATACACAGGGAAGGAGCTGGAATTTGTTGATTTAGGAATTTTAATAAAACATTCTTCCAGCTGTACTGCAAATGACCCCATGGGTCTAGATATCTCCATGTGACTTGTTCTTATGAACAGTAAGAGTATGTCTAACTTATTTTGATTTTTATTGGCAATTACACATGTACATAAACCCTGTACACGGGCTGGTACCTAAGTAGGTTATGAATTTTGGCCTAACTCTTCTTTAAGTTTCAGTTAAGTAACTGGAGACAGGATCTCCCAGACCTAATCCTTGCATTTTCAAAGGCTTACTCAGACTTTGAATTTTGTGACTCTGACTAGAGTCATTGGGCACTGAATGATTAAAATCCCTTCAGGGTCTAAAAATGTCTCTCAAGTGCCAATACAAACTCCATTAAGACCTTGTAGCAGGATTATCAGTCTCAGAGTGACCAGGCATTAAAAATCTTGCCACTGTACATGTTATCAATCTGCCAGAAGTTGCATGTTAGTTAAAAATGTTCATACATTTCACAGTTTTTTCTTTGATGCCTTCTTGGAACAGATAAAGATACCCTATCTCATATCAGGCAGATCTTCACCAGTCCACAGCTGGACTTGAATCCTCAGTTTAACCCAAAGATCAAAGAATACTACGCAGAAGTCCCGTTCGACATGGTGACAGTGAAGATAGGAGCAGAACCGTCTAACTGTCAATGCCGAGTACACCTTGATGAGAAGAAAGGGCCAAGGTATGAGTGAAAAAATATGAGATAAAAACTACAAGTGTCCTTAACTTTGGAAATATGTCAGAATATTACAGAATTGTTTTATGTTTCCAAAAGCACAGAATGCCTATATATTAGTCACAGGAAAGACAGAGAGAGTTCCAACACTCAGAAATTTGTATTTATTTGTCAGCGTCCTGAAAGCAATGGTAATATGTTCTCAAGCCATAATTAACCCTAGCTTTACAGAGTGCACAGTTGCTAGCATCTCCCCCAGCTTCTCCAGTCACTGACAGCATCAAAGCTGGGTGGGAACAGAACATCGTTACACTGCACACAGTAGACAGCAAAGAATTTGAGCTTTCGTATCCAGGCCTTGATTCTGCACCGTGGCCTAAGCTAATGTCGCGCTGGGCTTGGTCCCTCAGCCAGCAGTCTGCTTACATGGGTCAGAGTAGAGCAGCTGCAAACAAACAAAGAAATAAATTCAAGTTTACTCATTCAGAATGATCCATATTAGTCAGAATTATGTTATAAGGGATTGTCATAAAATCATAGAATCACTTAGGTTGGAAAAGGCCCTTAAGATCATGGAGTCCAACCGTTAACCTAACACTGCCAAGCCCACCACTAAACCTCATCCCTAAGCACCACATCTACATGTCTTTTACATACCTCCAGGGATGGTGACTCCACCACTTCCCTGGGCATCCTGTTCCACTGCTTGACAACCCTTTTGGTGAAGAAATTTTTCCTAATATCCAATCTAAACATCCCCTGGCACAACTTGAGGCCATTTCCTCTTGTCCTATCACTTCATACTTGGGAGAAGAGACTGGCACCCACCTCACTACAGCCTCCTTTCAGGTAGTTGTAGAGAGCGATAAGGTCTCCCCTCAGCCTCCTTTTCTCCAGGCTAAACAGCCCCAGTTCCCTCAGACACTCCTCATAAGACTTGTGCTCTAGACTCTTCACCAGCTTTGTTGCCCTTCTCTGGACACACTCCAGCACCTCCATGTCTTTCCTGTAGTGCGGGGCCCAAAACTGAACACAGTATTTGAGGTGCAGTCTCACCAGTGCTGAGTACAGGGGGATGATCACTTCCCTGCTCCTGCTGGCCACACTATTGCTGATGCAGGCCAGGATGCCGTTGGCCTTCTTGGCCACCTGGGCACACTGCTGGCTCATATTCAGCCGGCTGTCAACCAACACCCCCAGGTCCTTTTCTGCCGGGCAGCTTTCCAGCCACTCTTCCCCAAGCCTGTAGCGTTGCATGGGGTTGTTGTGACCCAAGTTGCAGGACCCAGCGCTGAGCCTTGTTGAACCTCATACAGTTGGCCTCAGCCCATCAATCTAGCCTGTCCAGATCCCTCTGTAGAGCCTACCCTCAAGCAGATCAACATTCCTGCTTGATCCCCTCATCCAGATCATTGATAAAGAGCTTAAACAAAACTGACCCCAATACTGAGCCCTGGGGAACACCACTTGTGACTGGCTGCCAAATGGATTTAACTCCATTCACCAACACTCTTTGGGCCTGGCCATCCAGCCATTTTTTTACCCAGCAAAGCACATGCCCATCCAAGTCATAAGCAGCTAGTTTCTCCAGAAGAATGCTGTGGGAAATGGTGTCAAAGGCTTTACTAAAGCCTAGGTAGACAACATCTACAGCCTTTCCCTCATCCACTAAGTGGGTTGTCTTGTTATCAGCAAAAGTCCCAGCTTATCTGATCTTACAGAGAAGCATAAAGCTGGAGGATAAGGGAGAGAGCAAAGTCATCACTAAACATCAGGTTTGAGCATTGACCCACAATCATTCATGATGTTTGATTACTACTATGATCCCTGGCACAGTTTTGGCTTTCCCAACCAGCTCTCTCACAGACAGCAGCATGTGCCAGGGACAATCCCAATAGGCATTTTGGGTATGACCTGGTTTTGGATGTTGGGAGGGACAAAAAGTGTTTATTTATCTGGGTCACGTACCTCAGAACCAGAGAACCGGACTATTTACATACTGGCCATTAGTGAGTGGATAAAAGGGAGAGCAGGGACAATGATTTGCTTGGGAGGAAGGATCCTCAACCATTACAGAGCTAGCTTTTCTTCATGGCATGAAGCGCCTATGAAACACACCATCTTTTGACTGACTGTGAAGCAGATGCTCTGACCTAGAATGTCTGCTAATAACCAGACAGTCTGTACAGTTGTTACTGATCTAATGGCTAATATGCTTCCTATATTTTCAATAAGAAATTAGTCTTGATTTATCATTTCAAAAGAAGCTCCCATAAAATTCTTCCACCCAACTTTTTAATGTTTTAATGTTAAGCACCTTGGCAGTCAACATGGATACATGCAAAAAACTTAAGAGATTTCTTCCTTGTAAAAGAAAAAAAGAATAGCAATATGTCCTTTACACTGAAAAGAAAAAGCCCTGGATGTGCAGGTTGTGTGTCTTTCAACATTTCTCATTTCCCAGCCAAGGGAAGAAGAGCACAGTCCGGCTTTGCTCATCTGTCACTCTGAGCACTTTGTCTGGGACTCCATCACATTTGGCTAGTGGATGATTTCAGCAGCTAGCTGACAGCTCTGATCTTGTTTGTCTCCCTGCTGACTTCTCCGTGAACTTGGACCTGCCAGGAATTATTGTCCCTAGTGGCTTCATTCACAGATTTCATTTCAGAATCTTTGCCACTGCCACTGAAGCAGTTTTCACTAAGTTTCACTATTCAGTATTTTGTCTTCCTGAAAGAATTGTAAATCTTATTTTACCCTGTTTTTTATTTAAAATCATATATATTTTGTAAGAGAAAGAAAATGTTAGAAGCCTCAAGGAGCGAGTAAGGTTTAGCTGCCATAGATAAAGCAGCATAAGTCTTTGTTGCTTTCGCATTTATTCCCCTGCTTTCCTGTTTTGCCTTGCAGCATTGCTAACTACCCCCTTGGCCTTGGATTGAACAAAGTAATCATTCTCGTAACAGATGATTCACAGCCCAGCCCTCAGCTTGTGAGCAGCTACAAAATCACAATTTATCGAGAGGACCGCCCTAGTCTGCCTTTGTTTGATGACTATATGATATGTGGGTTTGTGCAGGTATTGTCTCTATATTCTTTTGCTATACAAATTAATAGTGAATTTAACTGTTTTTTGTTCATCCAGTGCTATAAATTAGGATACATGGGCCAAAGCTGGTGTAGAGTCAGTTTTGGTGAGGTTAGAGTCTGAGTTCTAAATGCTATAATTGTATGAAATACAGCATTGCACAATGTTTTGGATATAAAAAGTAAGTCTAGCGTAAGTACGTGTTACAGTTATCATGTATTTGAGAGCTCCAGGTTAATTAATCCTTACTTTGGTCAGCCAAAACTTTACCCATCAGAGAGCTGTTGTTTGCTTGTGAGAAGACAGTCCCTCTGTATCACGCAGTGGACAGACTGCAGTTTTCATGCATGAAAATCCTTTTACCAGGAAAGCTATTTATGGTGACGGTCTGTTTATCAGTGTTCGAGACAAACGCTGCTAGATAATTTATGAATGAAAAGTGTTTATTCTAGAAGACCAACAAACACAATGGAAAAAACCCACTGATGATTCCAAGGAAAGGGGTGATTGTCACTTACATCATATTTATCCAAATATAAGTTTGGGAATGCAAATAAATTACTCCTAACAAATAACAATCCTTAGGAAGCAGTGGGTCTCTTGAAGGAAAAGAAGGTAAGAGTCTGTCTGACAGGGCTAAAAAGGGGCTGGGGAAGGGGAGCTTGGACTGAATTAGACACAAAATTGGAAGAAAGATAATGAAAGAAAGGAACAGTAAAGCTTTCAGTTAGTGAAACTGTGGCAATAATCATCGTAAGATAGAAAACCTGGGACACAGGCTGAAGCAGAACTGTTTGGATTCCAAAGTTAGAGGGCTAAACATTGGTGCTTGATATGGTGGGCAAAGATAAGCCAGTCGATTCAAAGAGGGAGGTGACATGGTAAATCATAATCAAGGGCAGTGCTTTTGTCTGTGGGATTTTAGGCAGATTAAAAGGTTTGGTAGGTTCATTCTAAATATTAGAGCATCCAGGAGGAATATATTTCATCACAATTCTACAACCAGAAAGCAGGATTTTCAAAACCATAGTGTTGAAACTGTCATCCATGTTCATGTCAAATGTCTAATCCTATCTTTATTTCTCTTCTTTATGCAGATCTTTATATATCAAAATATCCTTTTCACAAAACCTGTTTCCCTTTTCCGGTTTCTTTCTATATACTGCAGAAGAGGGTGGGAGAAGTCAGGCCATTTTATGTGATGGGACAGATCAAGAGGGATGTTTTTTTTCTTGTGGAAAAATGAGCACTGGGGCTTAAAACAGGAACTGAAGAGATTATAAATGTTGATAGCAAATTGTATGTTGACAATAATTATCTCAATCTGCAAATCAGAACTGTCAGAGAAAATGTATGCAGTAGTCATAGCCTACTGACTGCTATCTGAATACCTGATTATGGTGCTGTCTGGCCCTTTACCTATTCTTTGTCTCTTCTTTTACACTTATCTTACAAGCTCAAAAGGTCAAGGACCATCTTCTTGCTCTTTGTACTGGCTCAGCACTAGATCTAGTAGTTGCTACAAGTAAAACAAATATGAATAAACACATATAATACCTAAGATTTCAGTTCAGTTGTACAGTGATTTGCCTGACACCTTAGATGTGAATTAGTATGAAAAGGAGAGCAACAATAGGTTGAGCTGGAGTTACATTACTAGGAGAACACAATGGCTGGAAAGATGTGAGGAAAGCTCCTCTAGTTGCCCAATTTGGGGCACGTATCTGGGTGTAGGAACAGGAATTCAACCTCATACACATCCTCCCACACTAGAGTTTACACTGTTAATGTTTAATGATAGCATTTATGAGACTGAGTATGAATCTTTGAAGCACTGTGAAGGCAAAGAGATCTAGAATGATAAAAATGAAAAGTGTTTTAGAAGTTTCTTTTGATTGAGCTTGGTTTTCTGCTCATCTGTGAATAACTGCTCTCTAATTAATATAATTGTTCAGAGCTAGGGAGGACTTCAGGAGTTCAGAATAAAAATGAGATGAAAAGCATTCTTGTGGTGTCTAATGAGGGCTGTGAAGATACAGTGTGAGATTCTAAAACAACATTTTAAAAAAATATGTTAAAGGCAAACTTACCAGAGAGTGCATTTAAAAAACAGTTTGGAGCTGGAGATAGAAATGGCATTCTAAAACACTCAAAAGCCTGCATTTTTTTCCCTTTTCCTTATTTGCTAGAACAGAATTTATTGCCTTTTGCTTAGAGTGATGTTTTTTATCAATACAAAACTCAGGTCTTAAATAGCATCATTACATTCTGCTTTTCATACCAGAGAACATTATGCGCTCTTGCAGAGTGGGTTAATACACCCTGATCAATGGCATGAATGCTTGTTCTCTTAGTAACAAGACACCTGTTTTAGGAGCAAAAGGATAAATACAGCGTGAACTGATGGAGTCTCCTTTGGACACTTGACTAGGCACAACTGGGATCACACATGGGGAGAGAAAGGTCACTGACAGTGGTGTGGTCTTTCTCACAGAAGGCTTCAGTTAAAATTCTAATCCAGCAACTTTTTTTCCTGACTTTCTTTTATGTTTAATCCCATGAGGATATTCGGGTTTCACTGCAAGATGATACTATAAGGAAGGTTACAATAGAAAGACAGAGTGCGGGATGTTGTTTCCAGTCTTCTAACAATTCTCATGCTGTTGAATAATCCTGGATTAATTTCAAGGCTATTGAGTTAAGAAGTGTGTGGTTCCAAGCCTTGCAGCCCCTAAAAGGGGAAAAAAATATTGTCCTTTCTACTTTTTGATAGCAGCTATAATATCCTCATTAAAACCAAATTAGTAGGGGATAAACTGTGGCATCACCACAGCACCTTCAGCAGCTTTGGTTGCCTTTCATTGTGTGTTCTGCATTCTGACAGTATTGCTTGGACTGCAAATGGAGAGGTTATTGGTTTGTGCTTTAACTTACTTTTGTGCAACTGTCGACAATATTCAAATTAAGTGTACTTGAGTGAAGTTGTGCCATTTCATTATCACCTGTGAAGCTGTGATACCAAGATAGGCAGAATACAAAGCAAGCAGCAAAACTCAGTGAGCTTTTGAGACAGGGGGTATCAGCATTACCCTCAAGTGAAAGATCCCAGACTATGTACACACTGTCATAAAGGACAAAATATTTTATTCATTCTTGCACTGCCCATTATCCTTAAAATGCAAATAGATTTATCTATGCCTCACTTGAAATGTGTGGATGCTACCTCTTTGATTGTTAATCTCTGAGTAGTCACAGTCATGGAAAGTAACTGGTGATGTGCTTAGGGAACCTTGTTTGACACCGTGAACTTTTGTACCTATAGTGTCCTGCTGCCACAAGTTTGGGGGGGTTTGTTTGGTTATTTTTATTTATTTATTATTTTAGTAATACACAGTTATTTATTTGGGTTTGCTTTTGCATTGTGAGTAAGGCATAGCTAATATTATATTTTATAGCCACAGTGTGTATCATTCTCTTTGTCTGTGCATTTGCACAAAACATGAAAAAGTACTTTCCAGAATCAGTGCAATGCAATGGGCTGTTGCTCTGGCTGTTCTACAGCTTTCTCAGGTCTGAGAGGATGGACTTACAGGAGAACAGCTTTAAAACCTTTCCTCATTTTTATAGAACACCTTATTCTTAAGTACTATTTTCTCTTGTCTTTTTATAAAACCTTTTATCATATTCATTTCCTAGAGTCCAGATAGCATAAGAAATCCAACAGAGCTGATAATGAGATACTGGTATAGCATTGCTGACAGTGTGACACCAAATGGCTGCAATGCAGCTGGCAACAAGGTGCCAGCAACAAGATGTTGATTTCTCTTTCTGTCTACTAAACTTCCATTGATGAAAAAGCAATTAAGACCTAGGCCTAATATAATAACTATATTTAACTTTACTGTAGTCTTTGAGGGGTAGAGATGAGAAAACCCTTTAGAAAGGAAGAAACCTTTTAAAAAAATCAAAGTAATTACATTTTTTTGTTATGCAAGATATGACAATACTTGTATTTTTTTCAGCTCAAGTTATAAATTTCCCATGGAAAATAAAATGCTTTTACTTCATTTTAAACTGTGTGCTATTACAGTTACAATGCCTTTCATACCAGACAGTACAAGTAAAAACTGTCAGTTATAGAAACATGAATTAATTCTTTGCCTACTGCTTTCATGCAAAGATTTTGAAGAACCTTGCAAATATTAAATAATGTCCATAAAATAGAAAGAAAGAAAAAAAGCTTAGGAGGGAAACAAAGAACTTGTCCTGTAGTAGGACAGGCTTGAAGCACATTAGTGCCTTCTGTATTTCTCGTTAGCTCTGTTAGAGTCAGTGTGACCCCCATTACAAACCACCCGTCTCTTCTGTCCTTAGGACATTGCAGATGCCATGTGCAGACTCTTAGGTTTTGCAGTGCTTGTTGTAGTAGCAGCTAACCTTCTTTGCAGTTCTGGGTTTGAGTGTCTTGCTTGAAAACACACAGAAAGTGCACTTCTGGAACTGAATGTACAGCCTAATTATATCAGCAACCAGACTGTATCTATCTTATTTGCAAAGTTAGCTTACTTCCCTTTCAGAGAATAAAAGAATATCAATTATAGGAGCAATCATGCATCGCATTCTTTAGTCTTCTCAGATCTAGAGCTGGTGAGAATTTTTTTCAGTGGCTTTGAATTTTTCAGAAGACAACAAAAAATGCCCAAAACTAAAAAACATAATAGTTTGAGTCCATTTTTTTTTCTCTTTCTGTTTTTTTAAAGCTTTCTGATTATGGAAAAAAGAATAAAAGCATATGCTTTCTTCAAAAGACAGTGTTTTGATTCAAAGAGGGTTATTTGATTAAAATAGATTAAAATTCAAAATTTATATTGGCATAACTGTTAAATTAGAGATTTTAGCTATTGTGCAGTCCAGAATGCTAACTCTGTTTTCCAGGAGGGCCTGGTTGGGACAAGCAAAAAGCCCACTCATTATTAGATCTGAAATACTCA